CGGCTTTTACATGTTAATTTCCGATGTGTACAAATATTTAGTGAAGTGCATGATTTTATTTTACATGCTGGTTCCGTATATCTCCATGTTTTGCTACGTGTATTTACATACCTTTGCGTGTGCTCTTTTCTTATAGGGCTTGGCTTGGAAAATTACTGGTTTGGACGCCATTCCATGGCCCTTCCAATTCAGGTACTTTTGTTTATGTTGGTAATGGTCTACCAATTTCAGTAGAGAAGTTGGTTATGTACCTTCCTTTACCGGTATTAATTAATTAATTAATTATTATTAATTATTAATATTATTTTTTATTATTATTTTTTATTATTATTTTTTATTATTATTTTTTATTATTTTTTATTATTATTTTTAATTATTACGAAAACGGTGGAAATTCTTAGCCTACAAGCTTGGCTTGGAAAATTACTGGTTTGGATGCCATTCCATGGCCCTTCCAATTCAGGTACTTTTGTTCGTGTTGGTAATGGTCTACCAATTTCAGCAGAGGAGTTGGTTATGTACCTTCCATTACCGGTATTAATTATTAATTAATTGTTATTATTATTATTATTTTTGGTTTTATTTTTTATTTTTTTTATTTATTATTATTATTATTATTATTATTAATGGACTACAAATTCCAGAGGAGGAGTTGGTTATGACTGGTATTACTAAATAAAACGATGCACTTCTAACGTTATTATTCTAATAACTCTCAAACAGGTAGAATCAGGACGAACAGAAAAAAAATTTAAAGTTTTTTTTTTTTTTTTATTATCGAGTTGGAAGAATTAGAAATGGGAAACCTGATATCGATAAGTTATAACAGTTATATATCTTTTGTCTTTATATATTCATAACCTTTTCCTTTTTATTTCGTTAATGACCACTGGGACGCGACGATATGAACATTCGGAACTATATAGAAACAAAAATTAATTGTGTAAGTACGTACGTCATCTTGTTGATAAAATAAAATTAGTTTATCGTTATCATTATTTAAATTATAATAAGTCAATAATGTTTTGTTTGTTTTTTTTTCCTGCAAAAAAAAAAAAAGGGATACAAAATTTGTCATGTATTTTAATAATTTAATATTGTAAGCTTTATTTCGTTAATTATAAGCAAGAAACCATAAAGTTAGGGCTTAGTTAAACAAAATCATAAAATAGATCAAAACTACCTATATTACTTCGCCAAATACTTTCGTCCTTATGAGTCACAAGTTGAAACTATAATGGCCAAATGTGAAAATATGCAATGTTCGGCCGTCTAAATAAGATATTTAAATTAGGTTGGTATTTTAAATTTTTTTTTTAATTAATAATAATTCAGAATTTATTTAATAACTATGTATCAACGAAGATTTAATAAGATATAATATCCATTGAAAAGTTTTTCAAAATTTCATTAGCAAGTTAAAAATAATAACCAACTTCTTGTCGGCATTGAATATTTCAAGAAGGATGCGAAAAATTCAATATCTATCGATAAACAAGTTAGCGTCTTATCTATCTCACCAAATTTCATCACAGTTGACGAATATTCAGAAAGAAAATTTCGATCAGGCTGAAATAAAGGGCGTAAAGAATGATCAAACTGCTGCTACAAAAAACAAACCAGATGGACAAACTATTAAAGTCAATAGATATATGTTGTAATTGTTTATATTATCGTTATAATTGAAAAATAAAGTCTTATTAAAAAGAAAAAAAAAATCAATAATTTAAAGACATTTTTCGGACATCACCCGGACCATCATCCGAACCCAACCTGGTACACATTTTCTGGGTGCGACGCTATAAATTATGTTCATAACAATAACGATAAATAAAACTGGTTTAATTCGCTAATATCTCAGAATTTTTTCCTTTATTTAATAATCATGATGTATAAGTCTTTACTTCTTTGGCTCATAAATCTCTTGAACAAATACTAGAAACAATATATTAAGCCAAAGAAAAAAAAAATACTGCATGAGAAAATTTGACTATCTTAAGTCAAAAATCAGTAATTTATTGAAGAATTATGTGAAACGGATAAATGCTGTAATTGCCCTGTAGAAGTATCGCTTTTCGTTAAGCAAACAAGTGTTAAAATAAAAAAAGCCATATGTCATATACTCAGCTCAATCTTAAAATTTCAAGTCAAATAGCGATGGAATAGACTTTATTTGTTTTTTTTACATATAATATTAGCATTCTAACGAATTATTCAACACTTAAAAAAACCGATATTTATTGCCATTACAGAAAGAATGTCGTGCTCATTTAGGAGTGATTTATTATTTTAAAATCAACATGAATGGATTCAATTATTATAAAATGCACCTATGGTGTTCAACATCATATATAATTGTTTTTAATAAAATTTAGAGTTAGGATGCTTTTTTATGAATTTTTTTTTATTTATATATTATAATATATATATATATATTAGATATAAGGTCCCAATTTTAGGTTTTTGAGGGTCCTGAACATTTTTACTTAGACCTATGGTGTCGAACACCATAGATGCTTTTAGTAAACTTGAATAGATTTTGCCAATTATATTAAAAACTATTTTTTCAAAAGGCACATTTAATTAAAAATAATGAAAGATCCTACATTTCATTTTTTTAGCATTTAATTTTTATTTTCATTGCCAGATTATAAGTATTAAATATATATTTTTAATTAATCGGTAAAAATTTATATTTATTCCAATGTGACATATGTAATTTAGTGCTTCGATCCACAATTCAACTAATTCAGATTGATCTAATAATTCGGATTAAATGTAGATGTCCTTATCTGTCAATTTTAAATGGATCCTAATTCAGATTGAGGATGAGGATTATTTGGATTATAATCCTTACTAGATTAACACATGGTATACCTATTATGATTCTGTTTAGTCATTACTGTTGAATTAAAACCCTAGCATAACCAATCTAAAAATTATATAATATATCAATCAACTACTATAAATAGGTATATACATTGTTTTTTTTAGTGCATTTTTTTTCATCATTTTTTTCATCACTTTTTTTTTATTGGCATTTTTTTTCTTTTTTTTTCATCATTTCGATAGTTTGTTCTTTTTAATATTTTTTCATATTCTTTTTTTTTTAGGTCAGCATTTTTTTTCACTTTTTTGTCACTTTTTTGGTGCTTTACTGGTATTCCTTTGTCTTTTTTTTGGGACTTTTTCATCGTCATCTTTAGTGGTCTCTTTATAATTCTTTTGGTGATGCTTTCTTTGGATCTTTTTACTGAGAATCCAACATTGTAGTTTGGGTTGGATTAGGGTAAGTAACACATCTATAAAGTTGTTTCTTCCTGTAATTTTTACTAAGAATTTAGTGTTGTAGTTTGTGGTTGAGTTAGGGTTAGGGTTAGGGCAAAGTTTCTATTAATAAAATTTTGTGCAAAGCATTTTAATTAGACCTTTTTTTTTTGTAAAAAAATTATTAAATTTTAAATAAAAAATGTTTTTAAATAAATATTTTATAATTTTTTTTTCTTTTTTTTTTAAAAAAAAAATATATCTTAATGTATCATAGCATTAATGTTTGTTAAGAAAAAATTTTATTGGCTAGTATATGATTTGTAAAATTTTTTATGTTGATGATGCTAGAGAGGTTCTGTTATATAAATGACTATACTATACTATACGCCGATTTTTGTGATATAGTCACCTAATTAGTAATTTTTAAAAAAATTTTAAAAAAGCTTATTATTAATCCAATTTGTTGTTTTCTAGATGAACTGAGCATTTTTTCAAATTTATAATTTTGATTAGTTAATTAACTATTCAAAAAAACCTTATTCAATTAACTAATTGAGTATCTTTTAAAAAGCATATGTGGGGTGTGGCGTCTTAGTGGAGTGGTCTAGTTATTACACTTACCAAATAGCAATAGTATAAGTTCTAAATTTAAATCCCAGAGACAACACTTTTGAAAAGAAATAGAATATGATCTTTACTTAGGTTGTTCCAGGAATGATCTAGTGATCTAGTCTGTAAAACTAGGAAAAAAATTTCAGAAGGCTGTAATTTGTAGACTATACTTGGCACAGATCACAGGACCGGAGATCAAAGCCCATTTAGGAAGTCCTGAGTTTGGAGATAGCAGTAATTTTTAACAGTACTACATGAAGGCTGAATTTGAACCAGGATCTGAAATTGGAGAACCAAGCGATCAAGTCCTTTAGTAGAGAGATACACTAGCTAAACTGCTGGTTTAGACGCACCAGAGGAAAAGGCTGTATGCTCCAAAAGTATGGACCAAAAAAAAGACGTTCTTTAGGTACTTAATGCCTAGATAGGCCAACCTGTCCAGGTTGCTAGCTGAAAGTAAAAGAGGACCAATAGAAAATCCAGGTAAGAAGATAGCTAGAATAGAGGTATCGGGGTTGTTGTGAACTTTACAAGAGCAGAAGTATGTAATAAAGGACTAATTAGAAAGGTTGTACTTGAGATACAGATTGTGTTATGGTAGTACCCAAAGGTGGCTTGAGATATGAACACAATTATAGCAGATAATAGATACTAATTGGGAAGTAATTACTGAACTAGCATGTACTATCATGTGTAAGACATGTAATGTGTTATTAAGTTTATCTTGAGAATGATCAAGATAGTTTTAAGACTAGTTATAATATATATATAGTTAAAATAGATATGGTTAATTGGTGTGTTGTAAACTAACTTTAACTTAACTATAATAAAATTGCCGACCAAAAAGATCATCTTAAAAAAAAAAAAAAAAAAAAAAGTATATGCTGGGTTGGCAGTATATTAATCTTTTAAAGTAATTTATATATTTAGTTATAATTTTTATTTCTACTTGGTTCATGTTTTTTTTATATTGAAAAAGTACAATTTTCTTTGTTCTTTGTTTATGGTATTGTTGCTCAGGTAATTACCTGGTTAATATACCCAAATAAATTTATCTGGGTAACAAATATCTTACAGCTATTTTCATAATTTCTGAAACACCTGCTTATTACTTGAAATCTTTTTAGTTGTTCAGTAAATTATCTAACTCTCTGGAAATTATATCACTGCCTTTTTACTGAAAGTTCAAAGACAACAATATAGTTTCAGAAAGTTAGATAATTTACCAAATAACCAAAAAGATTTCGAGTAATAAGCAGATGTTCTACAAAGATCTGTAAAATTTTAGTTTTAAAAACTCAGATTTTTTTCTGATAACAATAAAAAATTTAAATAAATATTAGTTTAGATTTAGTAAATTTTAAATAAATTTTGATTTAAATTTAATAAATTTTTGATAATTTCTGAAACATCAAAGATCCATAAAATTTTAGATTTAAAACTTTTACAAAAAATTTAAAATTTCAAGTATCA